GTAGTGGTAGGTGTAGTGGTGGTAGTAGTAGTAGTAGTAGTAGTAGTAGTAGTAGTTTTACGTAAAAGTAGTATTACTAGCAGCAGCAGCAGTAGTAGTCGTAGTTGTTGTTGTAATAGCACTAGTCAGTGTGGCAGTACCAGCAACAGTAGCAGCAGTAGCAGTACAGGCAGCTCTCGGATGTTGCCCCCCCGGCATATGGCATCATTGTGAAACAAGCGCATGAATGTGCAGCAAGGTACATTGCTTTCCAGGGTTGTGGGGTGTGGGTGCCCAGCTCGTGATGCGATTGCAAACATGTATGTTTTGGCCATTGTTGCAAGCTGAGCCCAAACACTCATTCTATGTGGCAAGCCCCATCGGAAGCCTTGATATACATCACAAGCGCAGTGCGCCGCCGAACCCTAAGCCCTAAACCCTACAAAGAGGCCCTATACAGAAGGATTGGACGCGCCAAGGCGCTTAGACCGTAGCGCATTCAGCTTCAGCAAGCTTAAGGACTAATATCCCCTTATAGTCCGTATTTAATTCTGCTATACTATACCCCGAAACCCTGTTCAAATTTTGAGGTCCCTACATTAGCCCGTCACTCCGGAATAGGGCTTGGGGTTTAGGGTTTGGGATACTGCAAACACATCCAGAAGCCGAGCTCTCGATGAAGCCGAAGGAGCCACATCAGCGATCACGCGCAGGCCTTTCTTGTGAAGTCCTGTGGATACGGAATGAACTTGGCAACTTTGTCAGATTGTTGAACTAAACAGTCAAGTCTTCATTGTCGTTTCGTTAGCAAATTTTCTGGTTACTATGCAAGGCTGCTTGCTGTTGAACCTGTACGGTTTAGGGTTTAGGGTTTAGAGTTTAGGGTTTAGGGTTCGCGGAAGAGCCCTAAACACTTAAAACCATGTATGAAAGTCCAGAATCTCAGAAGCAGTTCAACAGAAGTCCCTTTTAAAGCCTGAATCCCCACGACAAGAGCTTAGACCACTTCCAAGGGCCGCAGACCTAAAAGAGTCAAGACGGGGTTTAGGGATTTAGTGTTTCAGTTTAGTTTAGGATTTAGGTTTTGGGCTTCTAGGGCGTAGCTTTGTCAAATGGAATACAAAAGCCTACAAGACAAGGATTCTATAAACGAGTTCTGTAGGAGGTACCAAGAACGGCCCAGTCCAGCAACCATCCGGCGGTGCTCTAGGACGCGAGCCTGAGCGGCGAGACTCATGACTACTTGAGGCCGAGGGGTCTCCTGTAGGTGGGTTTAGGGTTTAGAAGTTTTGGGGTTAGGGTTTTGAGCTTCATACTCCGGCTTATTGTAGCCTTTCAGTTTAAACTGTGTAACACCCGCACAAAACCCGATAACACCATTGCAATAAAACCCAAACGAAACACGCAAACTCTGAACCCTAATTTCTAAAACCCCGAACCCTAAACCGTTAACCCAAAACCCGAGCACTGAACCCCTAAACCACGAACCCTAAACCCTAAACCCTGAGCCCCTAAACCCTGAACCCTTAATCCTTCAACCTTTTCAACCCTGAACCCTAAACCCCGAAGGCTCCATGTGCCTATGTAGTTTATACATAGGCCTTTGAGTGCCTATATAGGAACCCCTCTAAGGCCCAAGTATCCATAAAACTGTCCTATAACCCAAAGGCTCCATGTACCTCTATCATAGTATATACAGAGGCTTTTAAGTACCTAGATAGGAATCCCTATACGGCCTTACTTGAAGGCCCAGGGTACTTAGTGAGTCGGTTATTGTAGGGTTACAATTGGGGTAACTCCATTTACATAGGGTACTTATAACTCTACTTGATAACCTACTTACTAAGTCCCCTGGGCCTCCAAGTAGTATCTACTATAAGTGTACATGGAGCCCCTGGGAACTCTATCAGAACTATGCGCGGATTCATCAGCAGGGCCCGGGAAATCTAATCAATCCGACTAAAAAGGCTCCTATACTATCCGGGCTCCCAACAACGGTTCTATTAAGGTCCCATAGGGCGTATGGTCGCAGGTGTTGTGTGTTGGCGTTAGGGTCGGAAGTCGGTGGTGCGAATGAAGTTCAATCACAGGTATAACTAAAAAGCGGACACTACAGGTGGGGAGTTTAGGGTATATAGGGCTTCTATAAGGCTTCCATACGGTATATAGACCTTTTTGAAGGCTCCTACAAGGGTAACTACCCACCTGAAGGTGTCCTAGACTGAAAATCTGAACCTCAGCAAGATTTGATGAACCTCAATACCACGGTTTAGGATTTAGGGTTGATGGATCAAAAGAGCCGGAATTTGTCAATCTTAGGGTTGGCGATGTATCAGCATATAAAACCCGACGGAATTCATCAATCTTGCTGGGATTCCTCACTATCCTGCTAGAAGCTGGCTTTAGGGTTTAGGGCCTCAAAGATCTTGGCCTTTGGCGTTCCAGGTCTACTTTGGGCTGGCCTTCCGATTGAGGGTTTAGGGTTTAGGATGTATAGGGTTTAGGGTGTAGGATTTTGGTTTTGGGGTTTGGAGCTTGCTGGGGGCTGGACACGATATACTTTGACCGTTGAAGGCTTAAGGTTTAATATCAACTGGGAGGTGTTTGAGAGTATTTTGTCTATTGGTGGCTAACCTTTGGGATTCATACCCGGAGAACCCACTACCCCTCAATTAAGGAATATACCCTAACTATAGAGGCCCTAATATTATGATTTAAAGTCTATTCCGGGTATTGGGCTCTCTGGGTACGGCCACACAACACGACATCGAGTGCCTGCCGGAAACCCTTGTATCAACTTTGTGCAGAACTGCGAAGGGAAGCAGCGAGCAACAAAAACACTTCAAAAGGCTTGGGGAACGAACCTCTGAACCCTAGTCGAAAATGTTCGGGGTTTAGGGTTCAGGCTTAGGAAATCGACCGTAAACCCATAGTGGTGGTTGGGTCGGGACTGCTTTCGGACGCAAGCGCGCAATAAGGGGCATGCCGCCCGGTTCAAGAAACGCACCAGCCGCAGGCACACTGCATACACACGGCATACATACACCCCCTCATACACTAAACTATAATACAACGGTAGAACTCATACCCTAAACCATATAAGACAAGGGAAGGACATATTACTAGAATGGAATTCCTTACATTCTCTGTAACTTATATCTTTTTCGATCTGCGAAAACTTTCCTGAAATTGTTAAGGACCCATGTTTAATACACTTCAAACACTATACACTCCTCCCCAAAAGTCGAGGCGCCATTCCGTCGGGATCCGAAGAGTAGGAGCCTTCGGGAACGCCGTAGAGCACGGGATCGTAGCCCCAGTTGAAAGCCTGACTGTGGGTGTGGGGCTTATGGGTTACGGGTTTCATTTTGTTTACAAACCGTGCTCCTTGGGTTTAGGGTTCAAGGTCTCGGATCTACGGTGTACGTTGTCGTTTGTTTTAGGCTACAATCTATAGGGTCTATAGGAGCTATGCGTAATCCTAGACACTGTAAACCTCTGAAAAGCTGCAGCTTTCAGGGCTTGCCACCTCTGGACTCTAGACGACTGCGGGTCGAGACACTCGGGATTGTGCTAAAACCTGAATCCACCATAAACCCTATGCAGCCTCAATCCTCAGCCCAGCAAACCCCACACTGCGAACCCTAAAATCCAGAATCTCGAAATCTGACAATCTTTGAATCGAGTCTTGAATCCGGGCAGCATCTTTGTCTGCTACCTCCATCACCGCTAGCTGCTGACCTGCGGCTCATGTGATGCAATCCGCACAATCTTACGTGACATGGATCCTGGAAAAGGACCCTACAATAGGGACATACTCTGATCTCTATATTCACTTGTCCCTGTTGGATGAAGCTGAAGAAAATATAGTTATATGTATACCTACATTTCTACGGAAGAAGAAGAACAACAACAACAGCTCCCTAAACCCTACACCCCAAATACTCTGCCTCGAGATCAACCCGGATCCTGACGCACCAAACGCGCCCGAACATTGTGGCCTTAATAGCCAGGATAGGGTTTTGGGGGGTACATTGCAACAGCGTGATCTTGGGGACTATAAAGGAATGACAACAGCCTAGCCCACCCCCGCCACCCCTCTCCGCATTCGCCTCCCACCTCTCATAAAATAACCCTAGTGCCGCCCTTCAAAATAGGGTAAGGTTAGAAGTACAAGTGCACATACTACCACTGAGAAGCCACCCATACCATGCAACCCTACATGCCCCAACGGTACATCCCCAAACCCTCAAACCCTACAGCCCTTATAGACTAAGACCAAGGGCTAAAATCCTTAAAAACTAATGTATAGTTTAGGGTTTAGGGTTTAGGGTTCAGGGTTTAGGGTTTAGGGTTGGGAATCCCAGCACTCCCTAAAGGCCCTAAACCCTAAATTCCAAGAGCCTGTTCCTCCCAGGTGCCTTCTGAGTCTGGGCCAGCCTTCTTGGGCATCATGGGCTCAGCACCTGGGGTTCAGCACTTAGGGTTTAGGGTTTAGGGTTTAGGGTTTAGGTGGGAATGAGGCAGGGTTGAAGGGCTTGGGGTATTGAGGATGTAGGGTTTAGGGTTCAAGTGTATTTTGGGATCAAGTAGGGTTTATGGGATTAGGGTTTAGGGCGTAGGGCTTAGGGTGTACGGGATTCGGGTTTACGTTATGGAGTTTAGGGTTCAGTGCATGCTTGGAGGGTCGGGGGACTTAGTAAGTAGTTATTTTATAGAGTTATAAGTATCATAACCCCAATTAGGATCCCTTTTAGGGTACTTATAAGTCTACTTATTACCCACTTACTAAGTCCCCCGACCCTCCAAGTGGGGTTTGGTGCTCAGGGTCTGGGCCTCTTGGGCATCATTGGGCTCGGCTAAGGGCCGCAGTTTTTGATGTAGGGCTGACGGTGGGCAACATTTTCAAGCGCTTATAAATAAAACCCTAAAACCCTAAACCCTAAGCCCCAAGCCCCCAAACCCTGAATCCTAAACTTGTATTAGAGCCTTAGAGCTTCAAGCTTTCAGCGTTTTTTGGGGTTTTTGGGCGTTTTTTGAGGAGGGTGGTTTGTTGAGTTTCGGGGTTTAGGAACGAAGCTTTGAAGAGTTCAAGGCTTGCTTAGGTTTTTGGGCTTGGGACTTTGGATGTGGGCTTCGGGCGCAGCCAAGTTGAGAGTTTCCCAGCTCAGGGCCCCCGAAGCCCTAAACCTTAAACACGAAGTTAGACATAATGTAGGGGCCGAAATAATTACCAATACTCTTTTAGGGGTTCCTTGTTAGAATCATAGTATACCGGGCCCCAAAACACTATTCTACTTGTTAATCCCCCTATATTACATCCTAAGCACCAATCTGAAACATGACAAAGTGACGAGCGAGAAGGTCTGAACTCCCCCAATTCACGGAGCAGTCGTCTACTTCCAGGATCATGGGACGTGCTAGCTCGATGTATAAACAGTGTTACGCTACTTGTATAGACTTAAAACCCGAATTGATACGGTAGAAACGACCGTGCTTACTAAGTCCGATGACCTTTCAACTAATTCACGCAGCAACCCTGTTCAGACTGTACTGAGGCTTTCCGACGGTGAAGAGACTAGGATGACAAGGCGAGCTTGCGACGAAGCGGTACCCGCTACTTCCTGCCAGGTCGTCCGAGCTTCTTGAACAGATCCTGCTGGAAGTGTCTCTGTCTGTGTGTGCAGGAGCTTCGTGGGCTGTGATGATCCAACAGTGTGCAAACTAATATAGGGGCCTTAATAATTAGAATAAGGTTTTTTGGTGTATATTATACTATATGCTGATGCTAAGGAACCCCCAAAATAATGTGGTAATTATTAAGGCCCCTGTGTCATTCGAGCTGCTTCCTGAACTTTTCCTGGTTGTGGATTGGTTTTGGATGAGTGAAAGTATGGTTGGTGTCGTGTGCAGCCGCCAGGTGTCTGTGCTGAAGAGCGACTGTCCAGTGCCACCGCCGGACTCTCTGATGAAACACCTGTCGAGGTTTTCACCACGCTTGGCAATGGCAAGCACCGACGTGCAGCGGGGTCCAAATCGAGTTAGTGATTCTAAGGATTCTAAGGATTCTACGCCCTAAACCCCCTCAAACGGTAACCCCCGAACCTCTAAATCCCCCAAAAACATCCTAAAGCCTAAACCCTTAACCCTTAACCCTAAACCAAAAATATCCTAAAGCCTAAACATGCCGAAACCCTCCTGAAACCATGAACTTCCCTTGGGCTGTCGTTAAGGGCTTCATGCGACCTGAGGTGGAAGGTCTAAGCAGACCCGAATATACGAGCCTAAGTAATTAGCAATACTATTTTTGTTCCTTCTTGTCATTCTAGTATATAATACCCTAGGGCCCGAAGCCCTAAACCTTAAACACGAAGTTAGACCTATAACATAGGTGCTTAAGTAGTTACCAATATTATTTTGTGGGTTCCTTCCTGTCATTATAGTATATTATACCCCAAAGCCCTATTCTAAATATTAAGGACTCTATGCTATCATCTCTCAGGGTTTAAATCTTCGGCCCTATATGAAAAACTGACCCCAGCAAGCCCGACTTCTTTATGCCCAAACTGAAAGCCCCAAAAACGCGAACCGCTCCACCCCAAACCAGAATCACCACACCAAGTGGTAAACCTCAAGTCCGAATAAAACCCTGAAGGCTAAATCAACGCCCCTAAACCCAAAAAACAGCGTTTCAAACCAAGCGGTATCTACCTAAACTCCTTCGTTGTTCTTGTTTGGTTAACCAAGCTTACATATTAGGATCCTAGCCACACACAAAGGAACTGCAATGAAGACCACAGACACACCATGAATGCTGGATGGGGCGCGATCCTCTGGACGTTCCGGCACCGTACCGAAGTCGAACCTTCTCTTCTACATAAGGGTGTAGGGTTTAGGGCTGGGTCCTATATCTGTTCCGTAACTTGTTCAATTATTCATATGGGTCTTGCAGAGCTTTGTAAGAACGAGTTCTAGAATGGTTCTATATGGGCTGTCAGCTCAATGTTCAAAGGTGCTGCTGCCGGTGTTGAGCTCAGGGGATTACATAAACCGAAAGCCTAAATGACCCACCTCTTCAGTGATACTTAGTCATCTAGGGCCCCTAAACCCTAAACCCTAAACCCTAAAACCCTAAACCCTAAAACCCTAAACCCTAAACCCTAAACCCTAAACCCTGACCTAAGCTCTTTGAATGGATTCTGGAATTTCATGCTCGCAAGAGGAGACGAGAGGAGACTTTGGGGGTCAGGTCTTTGCTGGCCCCCGAAGAACCTACCTTAGGGTTTAGGATTTAGGGTTTAGGGTTTAGGGTTTAGGGTTTAGGGTCTAGGGTCTAGGGTCTAGGGTTTAGGGTTTAGGGTTTTATAAAAGAACTCATAGTAAGGAATTCTAAACTCCTAAACTCCTAAACGGCTCTAAACCCGAATCCCCAGACAGCTCGGGCTTCTAGGGTTTAGGCAGGGCTGTAGGTACGCCGGGAGACCGGGATTCTGCACCCTCAATGCTACGTACACCCTCTGTCGACCCTCAGCGGTTGAGGGTTTTGGGTTTAGGGTCCTCAAGCTCTTACAAGACCTTTACAGAACCTAAACTCAAAACCCTAAACCGCCTAAGCCATAGACCCCAAAGTTGAACTCCTAAACCCCCGAAACCCCAAAAACAAAATCCAGAACCCCTAAGCACTAAACCACTGTAGCTTAAGAAGTTCGGATTCTGGGGCTTAGGGTTTAGGAAAGTTGGTTGTAGATTTTAGAGTTCACAGCACCCGACGTGGCTCGGTAATGCTGGGTGGGCAGAGCATGACTGTCGAATTCAACCCTCTGAGTTTGAGGAGAAGACTCAGATACTGTAGCATATTAGAGTTGGAGCTTTGGAAGTCTACTGGTATACTCGTACCTGACTATCTGACACTGTTTTATCTACTGCTGTGTTCCCTGCCATTTGGAGACTTTGGTCTGTTTCTGCTGCCTTTAACAAGTGCCTCTGCTTGTTAGCGAGCTGGGATTTCACACCCAAGCAAATATACGTACAGTAACCTAGTTTAGGGTTTAGGGTTTAGGGCTTTAGCGAACTACCCTGTAACTAAACCTTACACCCCCTAATTTTAAAATGGCGGCTAGGGTCAGCAAGTTTCAGAGCCCAGGAACTAAAGGCTGGACAGACTGCAAGAAACTAAGAGCCTTATAACAGGGGCCTTATAATCTTGTTGAGCAGCTCAAACTTCTGGAGCTGTTTACAAACCAAGGTTTGCAGGACACACGAACCCAGCTAACAAGTATGTGTATGTCTATCTATGTATGTATGTGGGTATACATATATGAGTATATATATATATATATATGGGTAGTTGTCAAAGTTGCGATCCCTTTTGGGGTGCCCAGAATAATAGGTGCCGTATTATAATAAGGACCCAAAAAGCCCCCGAAATCCTGAATCCCTAAACCTTACACCCCACGATAGCATGAGCCACTCGCTTCGGGTGCAGCATCATGCCACGGGGCGTGGGCAGGAGGTGGACATGGGTCATGCCGGCTGCCGCCAGCTTCCGCAGATGCCGGTCGCCGCTGGTGCCTTCCTCGCAGGCAGGGGGAGATCGGTTCCCCCGAACTCCGAACTCTAAACCAGGGCTTTTGGGGTTGAGCCTTCAACACCAATGGCCGGAGCTTGATACGAAGAATGTAGACCACCGACTAGTGACACCCCTCCCTAAGCCCTAAACCCTAAATACGGATGAGAATGGCAACCCTGAGCCATAGACCCTAAATCCCAAACCAGAGTGGGATTCGAAGATCAGGCCCTTTGAGGAGAGAGATCAGGGAGTCTTAGCCCAAGAGAAGTCGGGCACACTTGCATGCAGGTGACGCGCATCCTGCAGATCTTTTTGTTCGTACTCGGTCTTATGTACAACCATCACGCGTCACAAAAGGCCACTAGGTGAGGGGTGTTCATTTCCACTCATTAAAGCCTAAACCCTAAACCCTAAACCTGAAAACCCCCCCGGCCGCCACCTGTTCGAAGGCCAAGTACTTCCCACGCCGCCCCGAGGCCACACTCTTGTCAGATGCGCTGAAGTCCCGGACATGCAACTCCTGGGCTGGCTTAGGATCGTGCAGTTTAAGGCTATACCCAGAGAGCCCAAAACCGCTGAATTAAGGAATATACCTTAAATCATCATAATACGCCCCCTTAATAGTTTGAGGTCTATTGCTTTATGAAGGGGTATGGGGCTCTCTGGGTAAAGCACGGCCCCAACGGCTTCAGCATGCCGTCGAATGGATTCGGGTTTAGGGTTTAGGGTTTAGGGTTTAGGGTTTAGGGTTTAGGGTTTAGGGTTTAGGGTTTAGGGTTTGGGGTTTAGGGTCCAGGGTCTAGGGTCTAGGGTATAGGG